GTTCAAGTTCTTTCTGCTCCTCTCCCTGATTCCTGCCACTTCCCACAATACCTGTGCCATGAAGAATTATGGTCAGCCTACCTTCATAAGGATCTTGAGCTGAGAAACATGTATCAAAAGATGTCCAGAACTGTCAAGAGGCTGGGGCACTTCTCCTTTGAGGGAAGATTTCTACCTTTTAATCTTTTTTACGCAGAAAGAAAAAAAAAACAGAGTCTAGAATTTTGGGGGTTGGGTTGGTTGGTTTTTCCTTTACTAAAGAGAAGCTGCCTTGTACTCATGATTATATGCCTAAAACATCCACTAACATATGGTTACCCGACAAATGCGCGCTCGACAAAAGCGCGCCCAACGAAACCGCAGCGACAAAACCGCGAGTTCCAAAGCGCGCCGAAGAATGAGCGCAGAAGCACGCCGACAACAGCGCGCCAACAGAAGCGCGCTCTAAACCTAACCCTAAACTTAACCCTGAACCTAACCCTTACCTTAACTTAAATCACGCTTCTGTCGGCGCGCTGTTGTTGTCACGCTGTTGCCGGCGCATTGATGACGTCGGGGTTTTGTCGCTGCGGTTTCGTCGGCGCACTTTTGTCGTGCGCGCATTTGTCGGGTCACGCTAACATATCATTTTGGATTATTTCTAGAGCTAGTACTTCAGATCCACCAACAGCCAACATCAAGCCAACTCCTGTTGTGTCGACCCCGAGCAAAGTGACAGCTGCTGCCATACCTGGGAACAAGCCCACCCCAAGGGCTAGCATCCGTCCAATGGTTACACCCGCTACCGTCACCAACCCTACAACTACTCCAACGGCTACCGTTATGCCAACAACACAAGTGGAGACTCAGGAAGGTAATTTCTGATTGAAGCGTACTGAATTAAAAAATAAATGTAAAGACATAATGAACAAATGCTTACTGTTTGTAAGAAATGGGATCAAAGTCAGAAGGTTGGCCCAACTGCTAGTATACAGCACTACATAAAGCCCCTTAATTGCTTAAAGAAAGAAAATGTATATCCAGATTGAAATTGAGAAAACCACAGATATGTGAAAGGTCATAACATCCCCTATCATAATACTTAGGTGTCCCTAATTCAAGGATTTTATGCAGCCTGAATCTTCTCATTAAAGTCTAAAGATCTCTGGATAGTATCATGTGAAATAGCATCATTGCAAAAATCTACTTAAAAACCAGTTTAAAAGTGTGAAAAGATGAGAAATGGAACTTGAAAAAAACATAATTTGATGGGCTGTAATATGAACTCTTTTATGATGGAAAGGATAACTTATTAGAATGCATATCTGTTAATTCTAGGTTGTTCTGCTCCTTGTTGGTGAAAATAGCATGCATTTCACAGTGACAATGTCTAATGCTTTTTGTTGCATATTTAATCATAAATCTTAACATTGTAAGAGATGCTTGTCTCAATATTTAAATGTCATACTATATTAACATGAATCATATTGCAGTATAAGAGTTACCTGAGGATAGAAAACTGAAATATAGATTAATTTGACTCTATCAGTAACATCACTATTTTTGTTTTTTTTAAGAAAGTGAGATGACATAACTTCTAGATTTTTTCCCCTCATTCTGAGCCGAGATTCCAGCCTTCACCTTAAGCAGTGAAAGTGACCAGTGTCCTAACTTCATTTTCAGCCATGCAGTCAGAAGGACCAGTTGAACATGTTCCAGTCTTTGGAAGCACAAGCGGATCTGTGCGTTCCACCAGCCCCAATGTGCAGACATCTCTTTCCCAGCCCATCCTGACGGTCCAGCAGCAAACTCAGGCCACAGCTTTCGTACAGCCTACTCAACAGAGTCATCCTCAGATCGAACCAACAGCTCAAGAACCATCCCCAGCCATCATGGAGGTGGTGCAGAGCTCCCAAATGGAAAGACCTTCTACCTCATCGGCGGTGTTTGGCACAGGTTAGGTCGCTGCCTTAGTGGGACATTCTCCTGGGGTTTGGGGTTTTGTTGCACTCCCCTCGGAAGGTATTCGCTCCGGGATGAGTGCGAAACTGAGATCTTGCTTAATGTCAGGGCTGCTTCCCTCAGTAACCAAAAAAGAAACCAATTCCATTTTGCAGAATTAAGAGTACTTTTACTGGTCATGAGAAGATAGTAGCTAGGCAAAGCAAGATCTGAGGCAAAAGCGCATGTAATCATAGATATCAATATGTAACCCAGCCCCCTGCACTTGGTAAACCCATCCCATAGTCCAATCCATACACCCCAGAGG